CTTGAATTATGGATTAATTTGAAGGATCGATATGACCACCTAAAACTTACGGTATTACCGAAAACTCGGTATGAGTGGATACATTTAAGGTTGCAAGACTTTAAAACCGTAAGTGGGTATAATTCTGCTATCTTTAAAGTAAGTTCTCTCTTAAAATTATGTGGAAACACTATCACAGATGAGGACTTATTGGAAAAAATATTTTCTACTTTTCACGCTTCAAATGTGGTGCTACAATACCGTGAGAAAGGTTTTAAGAAATATTCTGAGTTAATCACATGTCTACTTGTGGTTGAGCAGAATAATACTCTATTAATGAAAAATCATGAAGCTCGTCCCACCGGGTCAGCTCCATTTCCGGAAGTGAATGATGTAGCAACATATGATAAGTTTGAAAGAAAACAAAATAATTACCGTGGTCGTGGACATGGTCGTAAACGTGGACGTGGCAGGGGGCGAAACAATTATCGTCATTATGGTGGAAATAAATTGGAGAACAATAAGGGTTCTCAAATTAATCATTCAAAAGGTAAAGCTAGTATGTGTCACCGATGTGGTATGAGAGGTCATTGGGCACGCATTTGTCGTACGCCAGAACATTTTGTCAAACTTTATCAAGCCTCCCTCAAGAAAAAAGAAAATAATGTGGAGGCACACTTGACCTTTCAAAATAATGATGATGAAGCAGGTCCCTCAAATAAATATGATTCTAAGGCACATCTTGCATATAAAGATGATGATTTTGAAGGCCTAACAAATATTACTCATTTAGAAGTTGGAGACTTCTTTGAGGATATTGACTGAAGAACGAATCATCTTACTGGGGAATGAAGCTATAAAAGTTATTATTTTTATGTTTGCAACTAGTTTATTTTTCTTGAGTGTATTTTCCTAATGCATCATGTGTTGCTAGTTTCTACATTCCTAATGTATTTCTTAATATTTATTTTCGCTTGTCTTTCATATTTCTTATGATGCATTATTTGCTTTTTTATGAAGAATATGAAAATTCTCCAGTCTTCAGTTGGACTCAAGATTAATAAAGATGATATATGTCTTCTGGATAGTGCTACAACACACACTATTTTAAAAGATAAGAGATATTTCTCTTATTTGGTAATAAAAGAAGCGAATGTTAATATAATATACGGTAGTACGAGATTAATTGAAGGTTCTGGAAGAACCAATTTATTACTACCAGGAGGAACAAATTTGGTTATTAATGAAGCACTATACTGTAGTAAATCTCAAAGAAACTTATTAAGTTTCAAAGATATTCGCCAAAATG